AAGATTAAAAAGGAACCTAAATCGGTTGTCCAAATTATCTTATTAGGCGGGATTTTCAACTACATATTCCCTTTAAACATGCAATATAGCGATCATAAAAATAATAGAATAAACATTAATATTGGAAGCAATTTAACAATAATAACGTTAGTCAAATCAAATATAAAATAACCTAATCATGATACTAGCAATAAGAAAATAAAATAAAAGTAATTAAATTAATTAATTACTTACATTCTGCGCGTTCCTTTAAATTGCTACATCATGAATAAATTGTTAGTAAATTAAATAAAAATATAAATCAAATTGAATATTAAATTAAATAAATATAGATTTGATTTGGTCCAAACTCTCAGTTATTTATACCTTTCACGCCTTGATTTCAGGACGAAACCTCGGGTTTAGTATAGACTCCTTGGAGTGCTTAAGGGAAGAATGATGTAATTAGGAATATAGTTTTAAAGCTTATAATATGGGAGAGAGAGAATATAATGATTTTTTTGTGTAAAAGAGAGAGAGAGAAGGATTTGATGATCAACTTGTTGATGATTGAAAAAGGGGTGATATGACTTCTATTTATAGAGAAAAAAGAGGGGACGAAGAATTAAGATAAGATCCGAATTAAATCGGAATAAAACTCGATAGACTGCAGTTTTTGCGGTTATTGTTTTTATCATATTTTTTTATCTAGAAATCGGAATAAGATGAATAAGATATCGTTGGAAAGCTCTTGAAGTCTACTTTCTAACCCAATTAGAATCAGATTAAAATATTTTGTAGAACACAAGATATGGCCGAAATATTGAGACAGTGTTAGTTTTGGATATAGTTTGACATTTTATTCATATCTTTCCGTTATAGCTCAGAATTGATATTATAATATATCATTGGAAAGATAATTTCAAGGGCTATCCAACCATATAAAATTTGGATAAAAAATAAGAGGCACGAAAATCATATCAGACTATATTTGAACGTCTTTCAATTCGGATAAAATTAGGACTTTAAAAAAAAAGTTTTATTCAATTTCAAACTCTTTAATCTTATCTTTTTCAAAAAGGATAATTAAGATCTTTTAGAAACTAATAGAAGCTTCCAATTAATCCTAATTGGTTTAGAAATTGGATTAAATAATTTGAGCCCTCTGCATGATCATTGGGTCGTAGGTAAGGTGGGCTTAGGTTCGGTTTGGGCTCAATTTAATATTTTGGTCATAACTTATTGGTTATAACTGGATTTGAGCTTATAATATATCGTTGGAAAGATCTTTTAAAGCCCTATCCAACTATTTAATCATTGGACCCATATTATGGACCAAAATCAACTGGATTAAACGTTTTTATAAAAAGGATACGAAATGAATGATTTTAAAGGACACGAAATGAATTGTTTTGGATTTAAAGGCACACAAAGAGGAAAATAAGTTATGGTTTAGGGAAATGAGATAGGAGTTGGGTTGTTTTTATGAAAAGAAAATATGGATTTAAGCACTCCAAGATTAAATACTCAACCCGACCTCTAATGGCGGTGAAAGGTTGTTCATCATCGGGTTTGGTTTTGGGGAGACATTTTTGAGTGTCTACAGGTACATCGCAGTCCATATCCATACTCCCTGTAACAAATCAAACAACATCAATCACATACTGTACTCCTATATCACATCAACTAAAACATCAACAAATGCATAAAACAAAACAACTTAATTTACCTTTCCAAACCAACATAAAAAAACTCAACATTATAGGGGAGCTCAAAATTGTTTAAACCACATTAACCAATTTGTAACCCTTCAACATTACAAAACAGATTACCAATGCAACCACATTAACAAGGTCAATTTGAGAATTCACATTGTCGATTCCTATATACTCACAAAACCCAATCACACAGACTTCACAAATTTCGAATCATACTGGGCAATTTTCTCCAAACACGGCCTCATGGTCGATTTTTAACATATAATCACCCCTTCCAACATTTATTTCTTAGACTCGAAGATCAATTATACACAGAATCGAACATATAACGTCATTAATTCATATAATTTATACCAATCGAAAAAGACACAAAAGTTAGGGTTTACAAGCGTATACAACATACCTACAGAGATGCTTCACACTTCCGGTATCAAGTACCAATTCAGCTCAAGTACCAATTCAGCTCAGACGAATTGCGACTGCGAACATCGGAATCCTAATCGATCTCGCCCATTTTAGGTGGGTGGGAAATGAGAACTCATCAGCTCGCGTTCTCCAGAAAGCAGTGAACAGGAAGGAGAAATTGAGTTCCCAAAATACAACAGAAAACGATATTCTAGATAACGGTATGCATTTACTAACGTCCGGGTTAACCCCAGTTAAGTTCCACGTCAGCATCACTTCATAAAAACATTATAATATTGACATATTAACATTGTTTGTTTATATGCCTTATTAACCGGGGGAAGCTCTTGATTTCATTGCAAAATTAAAGCTCACAATCTCCTAAATACAGACCAAAATGTTTCATAAATTCCACGAATTTCCCATTTCATTATATAAAAATCACTCATTAAGTCTTTAGCTACCTCATCATCATTAGGGAAGAAACCCAGGAGTCTCGCAGCAGAGTTCTGGTAAGCATACAAGAACCAGCCCATTAACCTGATAAGCCCGCTCGTCACCATTAAAGGATCCTGAATTCCAGGCTTAAGCCCTAAATTAAATTTAAAATAAATAAAAAAAATTCACATGAAATTCATCGTAAATTTGCAAAGGTAAACCCCAAAATAGAAAATTGACATGAAGAACCCAAAACATAAGTGGTACCTGACATTAATTGAAAAATTAAAAGCTTCCAGTAATTGACAATCATGGAAGACAGAATTAGGGGCCGAGAAGTTACAATCAGGATCAAAAATCTGAATACCATCTATTAATAATAATCACAATAGCACGAATTAGGTTTACTTATCTCAGCAAATTGCTGGAAATTCCCAGTCAACGGAGTTGGAATGCCAGCGAGTTAAGAGATCGTAAAATCAACTTTCTGGTTGTTGTATAATTTTTTCACCTCATTGAAAATAAGCGCCAAAATTACCAGCAAAATTTAGCTGGAATTTTGGCTCCCTTTCCCTCATTTTGGCGCTGAGAATTTTTCCTCCCAAAAGCTTCCTCCATTCCCACTCAACCAAAAACTCAAGTGCTGAGTTGTATAAAATTAGAGGTCATGTATATGGATCCCACATACACACCATGTATGCATATCATCTTCCATAAAAGCTAGATTTATAGATTGCCAAAGATTCATGTTTTCAATCTATTCATTCTACTCTTCAGTTGCAATCTTCAACTTCTTCTGAACTGCAACATCAACATCATTTCCAAACATTAGTCATTTAGCTGATTTATAATATCTAGAAAGAAACTCATACAGAAAAAATAACTCAAGACATGCTTCATAACTAATACATATGCCTTGTAATTTGTAAATACAAAATTAGCTATGTTTTTTCAACTGTATTCCATGTCATCAAGCAGGTCTTTAAGGCTTGTCCCTTAACAAAGTAAATACAAAAGAATACATCATTTAATACCGGGAGGTGTAGACATTGAGTAGCAAGAGAAACTAAACACTCGAAGTAGTGTTATCATGCCGAGGCCAAAAGAGATGGATTGTTCAAATATTTCTTCACAAGTGATATACATGTGTATGACAGAATTAAATGCATGAAGAACCTGATCTCAAATCTCAACAGAAAAATTACACTTCAGTTAGGGGGTCTCAATAAGCCCAAAGAATTAAGGATAAAAGATCTACCTTCTTCATGGAGATCAGAAGCTCGACTATACAGCTCACCCTAAATAGCATACTGGCACTTTTTTTTTAACATTTTCATTCAATGTGTCACAGTCCAATCCCTTCAACATTTTGGCCAAGATTCAAGCTAATGTCCCTTAACTAAAATAGAGAAGCTAAACAACAGCAAGTAATATGAGCTCATATCATACACCTGAAATTCAAACGTAGAAATAATAATAGATTCTGCAATAAGGCTAGGCATAACATAGAAAGATTTTATTACATATACCAAAGAATAGGCAAACATATATTCAAAACAGTTCCTTCCATGCCATAATCCTACAAACTGCAAAAACCAAATACACTTTAACCAAAAAAAAAAAAAAAAAAAAAAAAAAAAAAAAAAGACTTTAGCATGCTTAATCACCACCCTGCCATAATCCTACATCCTTCTTTTCCTTGTGGCGTCTGCAGTAAAATAAAAATACTCTAATAACTTAATTCAAGAAGAGTAAGAAGGGAAAGGCAAAAACAGAGACAAACACTTCATTGGTTCAAATTTATGAAGTAAAAATTAAGTGTTAGGGCCTGTTCTCATACGTTTATTTTCAGTTCAGCTCAGCTCCTAATTTCCTTCTCTTATAAAATATTTAGTTCAGTTTAGCTTAGCTCAGCTCGGTTGAGTTCAGTCTATGAGAACAGGCCCTACAATTGATCATATTAACATAAATCATCAGACCAGCAGTCATTTCATCATAAATTCTCTTCAAAACCTTCAAATTTCCAGACTGCCTAAACTCATATAACAGTCACTCCAGCAAGCCTCAAATTTTCAAATTAGCACTATTCCATAAAAGGAATGAACAGGAATGCAGCAAAAAAAAAAACGAAATTTACCCAGAATTCAATCTAATTAGCAGAATTCATGGTAAAAACAACCCAGAAATCTGACGATCTTGAAGGGGGAAAAAAAAGAAACTTGCAAGCTGAGAATAGGTGATAACCACATCGAGGGTTAGGAACAATTTGAGGACAAAAAACTTCAGTTTCAGAACCCATCTTCTTCTATACCATCAATAGAATAATAGAATAATCCAATTTCCAGACCACGAAATGCTAATAAACCCTAGAATTTAATTTTATTGCAAAAATACAAAACCCTGAATGCTTTGTGGAGCCACATAAGAACAGAGAAAGAATGCCTCAGTGCAGCAGCATAATGAATTAAAATACAGAATCTAATTCTATAACATTAATAGAATAATCCCATTTCAAGGCAATCAAGGATGAATGCCCCAGTGCAGCAGCATAAATGCATACTACATACCGAAAATAAAAAACTATAAGGCGTTTTGAACTCTTATGGAGCAACATAAGAACATTACTAACGATCAGCCTATCAACTCATCAATTAAACATCTTTTATACACAAATATCGTAATAAGGACAGAGAAAGACCATGTTACAAGAGGGTTGTACACAGCCCCTACATTTGCAAGAAAAGGGAAACTAAAACTCAGTCTTGCCTTCCAGTGGTAATAAAGAAAAACTGCAATTTAAGCGCCTAACTGGAAAACTCACTTGGCAACCGCATCTCTATTGCTGCCAGCTTCATTACTGTTGTCTGGCAGAGTATCTAAATCAGTTCGATCTTTAACTTCTAGAGTGACTGAGGTATCAGCTTCATGACGAGGCTGAACATTTGTTGAGTCCTCTTTTTGGCCTTCTGACTCTGAGTTGTTCGTAGACTCAGCTTGCAGCTCATGCTCATGCTCCAAATTAATTTTCTTATTATAGTTCAATGACTCCTCCTCCAAATGCTGCTGCTGTTTGGAATCATCAACTTGTTCATATTTCTCAGCACCTTGGCCATCATTTGCTTTTGTTGCTTCCTCTCTTTTCTCCACTGGCTTCTCTGCTTCTTGGCCATCATTTTCTTTTGATGCATACTCTTTTGGCTCCACTGGTTTCTTTGCATCTTCGCTTTTATTCACTTTTGACGCTTTCTTCTCTTTATGTTCCTCAGAGTTTGAATCATAGGAAGAGTGAACTTGATCATGGTTGATTAATTCATTTGTTCCATTTGTTCCAGAAGGAGAATTTCCAGAGATATTTTTCTCTGGATTCTCCCCATTTGCACCCTCGTGACCAGATGTATCAGAATAGGAAGTATGACCATCTGCTGAAGAGCCTCCTCCACCTTCAACATTGTTGGTGTCCTCAGTCTTAGAGCCGGAGTCAGAATTTGCATCCGATTGGTTTTCACTTGCTCCTGCTTCAGGTTTCTCCGATACAACTTCCCGTAGAACGGAATTATTATCCTCTTTAGTGCTTGTGTTATCTGTTGCATAATTTTGATTCTGGGTAACAAATGTTTCATCACTGAATGTAGTGGCATTAGCTTGCTTGTCTTCGCCAGACTCTACAGTTTCAGAAGGGAGAGAGTGAGAGCCATCAGCCGTATCTTGTGGAGTAACATCATGTTTTTCGCCAGCAGTTACTGCATCAGAAGATTCCTTTTCAGCAGTCTTATTTTCCACGGCTTCTTCATTATTCTCTTTATGTTCAGATGCATTCAGCTCTGAAGTGGAAGAATCATTTTCCTTGTTTTGTTTCTCAGTAACAGCTTTGTCATCCTTGTTAATTCCATCTTGAACCTGAGCATCTGATGAACCTGAATCCTCTATCTTAGAGAACTTATCTTCCGTACTTGTTTCTTCATTCTTACTATCGTTGTTGCCTTCTTCCTTTTCTTGACCTTCATTATATGAAGTGTCATTCTCTTTGCTCTCTTGGTTTTCTTCTTTAGCTTCTCCATTCTCTTTCTCAGCTTCTTTCTCTTTCACTTTCTTCTCTTCTTCATTTCCACTCTCTTTGCTCTCGTCCCTAATTTCATCAGTCTTGTTCTCATCAGATTTTTGCTCTCCACTTTCATTTTCTTTGCCCTCTTCTTTCTCCTTATCCTCAGCTTTGTTCTCTTCCTTGGCTTCAGTTTCCTCCGCTTTGTTCTCTTCCTTAGCTTCATGTTCCTCCACTTTGTTCTCTTCCTTGGCTTCATTTTCATTCTCCTTGTTCTCTTCCTTAGCTTCACTTTCCTCCGCTTTGTTCTCTTCCTTCGTTTCATTTTCCTTTTCTTTGTTCTCAACCTGTTGCACCTCCTCACTTTTGTTTTCTCCATCATCCTTCACCTCATTTTCCATATCCTTGTTCCCTTCTTGCTCCACCTCTTCATTTCCCTTATCCTCCTCCTTCAACCCTTCATTATCCTTCTTCTCACTTTCCCCCTCACTTTCTCCTCCTCTTTCTTCCTTACCCTCTTCACTTCTCCCCTCTTCAATTTGTTTCTCCACGCTTTCATCCTTAACTTCCTCTTTGGGTTTTTCATCCACTTTCCCGCCCCCTCCATCCTCATTCTCTTCCAGCTTTACATCCCCAGTTCCAAATTTCTTCTCCTCACCCTCTTCCACACTATTCCTCTCATCTTCCTCCAACTCAGGAGGATCCCTCCTTCCCAACTTTAACCTCTCAATCCCTTCTTGCACCTTTTCCGAAACCTTTTTTGCTTCTCCGAACGTTTTCTCCTTACCATAAGAACGTTGGATTTGGTACACTAACCAAATACCAACACCCAACAACAAAATCAATTGCATCGCATGCTTTACCTTGATCCCCTTGTTCGACCTCGAACCCCTACTACGAGGCGACAACTTAAACATACTTTTCAAGAATCAAAACCTTGTCAAATGCCCAAAAGTTTCTGTTGGTACATACAGATGCAAAAAATATAAATTATATGTCAATCACCCAACTTTAAAGCAATTACAAATTGGAACTATCTCCTGTATATAATACGAGTACCAATCACTGTAAAACCTTTTCATTCAATGAAAAATTTAAAAATGCTACCACCCAAAAATCAAAATCTCCCTGAAAACAAACAAATTGAACTACTATATACTTCGCACTAATTAAGATAAAAATGCGAGAAATCAATATGTTTTTAGATCACCACCTGTAACATAATATTGCAAGAACACAAACATACAAATACTGAAACTCCTAAATTGGACAACAATTGATCAATATATGAACAGTATTAATCCGGGAAAACCACTCTATATTTCCAATTCAGATTAATATTTGTTTAGAAAAAAACTATTATCATTCTATTCTCACACTATAAGAATCTCACACTATAAGAAAATAGTAACATTTGAACTGACAACTAAATTATAAGACATAACAAGAAAAGATCAAATTATTACCGTATGAAACATTATATTATACCCCATGAAAAAGGAAAGATCTATATATCTAAAAGTAAAAGACGATATTAAAAGGAGAAACTGACCTGAAAAAAAAATAAATAAATAAAACAGAGAAAAACTGGGAGTTTTCTTCTGTATGCAAATATTTGAAAGTATGATTCAAATTTGAAGTATGAAAAAAGAGGTAATAGAAAGGAAGAAGAGAGAGTAAAAAAGAAGAGGGATAAATGAGAAGGAATGTCGGTGAGTTAGGCTGTGATTCGTTATCTGAAAAAAGAAATGGAAATTGAAAGGGTAAAACTCAGATTTGGATCTTAAAGTATGTGAGTGTAATTGCAACATTACAACTTTAATTTATAATGACATTTTGCTTGCTTTTGAGTTTTGGCTTGGTTTGTTTATCTATCTTCAACTATAACCCACTCCCTTGCTTTCACAATTCACATATGTACGCCACTTTTCACTATTCTCATGCTACATTTAATGCTCTCTTAAGTAAACTTATCATATGATGTCGCTTGCAAATAACAATCTAATCTACTCTCTTTATTTTTTTTTATTTTTTTTGTATTACTTTATGTGACACATTTATGGATATGCAACTTTAATCATAAATATCTTTAATCAATACCTATATACTAAATTACTCCCTCCGTTTTTTAATACTTGCTCCATTGATTGGACAAAGATCCTTCTACCCAGCCAGGTACAAGGAAGATCATCCGTGTTGTTAAGTCGGATGGTAGTAAGAAGCTTGACACTGACGCTCGACATGTCATCGAGCAAAATCGGAACCAGCAGCTGTCTGAGTTAGCCTCTACCTCAAGCTTTCTAGACAGCTTCAGAAATACATCTGCAAGAAATACTCAATCCTTGCATGAGAGCCATACATGCGGTAATACCGTCCACTACTAAAATTCGGCTAAATTGCGACCGTTTTTCTACGACCGTCTGAAAATCGGTCGCAAAATATGAAATTTGCGACCGTTTTTTATGCGGTCGCAATCTTACGACTGCTTTGACAAGGGTCGCAAATTTGCGACCGTTTTGCGACCGTTTTTAACCTTTTAGACGGTCGCTACGATGTTTGAACAATTAAAAATAATTCTAAATTAAAATAAATCGTTTGCGACCGTCAAAGACGGTCGTAAATGTTATAATCTGCGACCGTCAAAGGCGGTCGTAAATGTCATAATCTGCGACCGTCTAAGAGACGGTCGTAAATTTCATAATTTGCGACCGTCAAAGGCGGTCGTAAATGTCATAAGCTGCGACCGTTAAAGAGACAGTCGTAAATGTCATTATTTTTTACGGTCGCAAAAAGCTTTTTTTTTATATAAAAAAATTCGGGTATAAAAGTACACCCATTTCACCCCAACCCTAATTATCTAACCTCACACCGCTCCTCTTTCTCTTTCCTCTCCTCTCTTCTTTTTCTTTCCTCTGAATCTCTGATTTACTTCCTCTTATCTCTCTCCTTTCTGTTTCCTCTCTTCTCTTCACCGGTTTTCGCCACCATATTTCCTCCGCCACATTCTTCACTGGCTCTCCTCCTCCTTAAAGGAGTACGACAGCGGCGGTTTTATTGGCGAGTTCGGGTTCGTTTTTCTCAACAAGTACATTTAATGGTTTTTAAGGTGGAATTCGACCATGAAAAGTCTAGATCTAGACTTTTTATGGTCGAATTTGGCCTTATTAAACCAAATTTGAGGTGAAATTCAAAGTTTGAGGTGTGTTTTCATGTTTTTGATTTATTTCGTTCTTGGTTATTTTCGTTTAATTTTTCATTGATTTTCGTTTCGTTTTTGGTTGTTTTGTTTGATTTTTGTTGTTTGTTTTAGTGGGTTTGATTTTGTTTTTGTTGATTTTTGGGTCTGATTTTCGGATAATTTTCGTTTAGTTTTTGGTTAATTTTTGTTTCGTTTTTGGTTGTTTTGTTTGATTTTTGTTGTTTGTTTTTGCCTACTTTGTTTTAGTGGGTTTGATTTTGTTGATTTTTGGGTTTGATTTTCGAGTAATTTTGGTTTAATTTCGTGGTTTAATTTTCATTAATTTTTGGGTTTGATATTTAAAGTGAAATTGTTTGATTTTTGTTATTTTTAGATTTGTTTTTCGTTAATTTTAGTTGGTTTAATTGGGTTTTATTTTCATAAATTTTGTTGAGGGTGGCTTTTGTTGTGGCCGATTGGGGTTTTTACGGCAAAGGGTTGGGATTTTCATGGCAAAGGGATGGAGATTGTGGTGGTTGGGTGATTTTTACGAGGTGGCTGGTGGTGTTTTAAGGTGGGTAAAGGTGTTTTAGGGTGGGTAAAGGTGATGAGGCAGGCTGCATTCACAGGAAAGTAGGTGTGGCTTTTTCTTTTTTTGTGTATTTTTTAAACTCTTTGCGACGGCCTTAAGCGGTCGCTAATTTCCAGATTTGCAACCGCTTCGTATGCCGGTCGCAATTATATATATTTGCGACCGTCGTCCAAGCGGTCGTTGAAAAAATAAAAACGGTCGCAAAAAAATTTGCGACCGTCAAACGGTCGTAATTTTTTTTTTTTTTGCGACCATATGAATAACGACCACCACATTACGACCGTTGACGGTCGCAATTAAGTTCTGCGACCGTTTTTGCTATTTTCAACGACCGTCAGAGGCGGTCGCAATTTGGCTAAATTTTAGTAGTGGTCCATTGGCCCTCAGATGATTGGGAATGCACTATACACACCCCCTATGGTCTACGGTTCGTATTCTCCTCATTTCATGCAGTCGGCCCTCTTTGGGGGTCAGGCAGCATACAATGTCCAACCTTTGGACTGGCAGCTCCGTCTACTCAAACTTGGTGAACAAACTTTGATATGTCCAATTTATATAGTGTTTTACCCCCGTATCTTGGTCATAATTAGTAGTGTTTTTGGCTCTTTAAAGCCACTTTTATTACTAATTAGTGTTTTCTAGTGTTTTTGTAGTTTTGCTTGAGTTTTGTAGGAAATTGCACATTTGGAGCGTTTTTCGGGTTTTTCATGGAGCAACTACGAGCATTAGGAGGACACAACCATCTTTAAAGCCCAGTACCGGTTAGAGCCGGTGATTAAGGGCTTGGTATGTGATACCGGGGCATTTGGATCGAGTATTCAAGACCCAAAGAGGAAATCCAGATTGGGCCGAAGAATCAAGCCCAATCGAAGTCCAAGCCTCGAGGAAGAGACCGGGCCCGATCGGGCAAGCTTGCGACCGATCGGGCGGGCGCGTAGAAGAGAGCACCAGCAAGAAGGCGCGCCCGATCGGGTGAGCATAAGCTCGATCAGGCGCGGCTGCCCAGGAGGACTCTGAAGAAAAAGGCGGGCCCGATCGGGCGGCCTTTCGCCCGATCAGGCGCGTGTTTTTGGAGCCGAGTTTTTAGTTTTCAATTAGGATTTGTTTTAGGGACGTTTAAGTACGTTTTTTGTACGTTATTTTGATTACCTTCTCTTTTAGACTTTCTCTCTCTACTTAGAATATTTTCTCTCTCTTAAATTCTCTCAACTTTGCTCTTAATTCCATTCCTTAATCCAGATTTCTTTTGGTAACAATTTCTTCTCTTTTAATTTTAGTTATTTTCTTTAATTCTTTCATTATGTCTTATTTTATTCTTTTGATTAGTTTAGATTTAATTATGCTTGAGTAGTTTTATTTCTAGGGTTTATGGGGATCTAATAAATAATATGAAGGGGTAATTTGTTATTGTTGATTATCAAAGCTTGATTAATTTCCTATTGATTGATTTAATGCTATGCAATTAGGTTTGGCCAGATTTAATTGTATGAGTTTAGCAATATTAATTCGAGATTCGAGAGATGAGAATTGATGTTTAGGCTTAGTTTCAATAGGCGGACTAATTTATAAATGGTTAAGTCGAGATTCGAGAGATGAGATTTAATACCGGTAAATTAACTCTGTGATTGTAATACGTAGGGAAAGCCCTTTATAATCTGATTAATAGATGCATTGATGATTGATTATTATGATTTACCCTAGAATATTGTTTATTAGTGAACCTATGCCCTAGCTATTTCCTTCATTGATTTACATCTTATTTTACTCTCTTCCTATTCTTACCTTTAGTAGTTTAATTGCCCTTTTACAACAAATTTGGTTGCTTGATAATTTAGATTGCTTCTAATTAATTAGGAATAAATTGACCTGTTTCCCTGTGGTTCGACCCTTCTTCCCTATCTACATAGTGGATTTAGGTTTTATTTTTTATTAGGTGAACACGACTTGAGCCTGTCAAATTTTGGCGCCTTTGCCGGGGAAACGGTTTTATTTTTATTTTCTGATTATATTTTTTTTGTAGTCTAGATTATCTCCTTTTGTCTCAGAGAACGCTAGTTCTTTGAGGCAATTCTCATTTTTGTCTTTTAGTTCCTTGTTTATGCCCGGGTGTTCCAGATCAGGTTACATCCCATTCGATCCTGAGATCGAGCGCTCGTTTCATAGGCAAAGGAATCTCTATAGACAAATCTTAGCGAGTTTTGAGGAAGACAATAATCGAAGAGACCCTCTGTAGGGAATAATTTCAAGCCTTAATCCCACTAGTTTGAACCCCACTGTGATCATACACTAAAGTACGGTGGCGTCCAAAAGGGAAGAAGATAGAGCAAAAGAGTCGCCAACAAGTTTTTTAGGAACTTGTAAACCGTTCACGAGGTGAAGGCTACACCCCTTAACGATCCAAGAGATCGTCAATTCCATAAGGTCTAGAACCAAATAAATGGTTCGGGGATGAAGGTACAAATCCAACCTAAAAGAGATTGAACCCGCCCTAATAATAGGCCTCTAATTTATTCTGATCGTATTCATGTGCGCTTTCTGACTAACATGCAATCAATAGGATTAACCCTAAACCTGTTTAATCTATGTTGGTTGAATATTAATGCACAAATAAACAATTATTGGCGATCACTTGAAATTATAATCATAATTAACCTAACAAGATTATTAATTATCTTATTAAGCGTGATTACAAGTATAAATTCCCTTTAGACATGAATAAAAGGTGTGATCAAGCAATAAACAAGCATCAAACAACATATTAAATAATCAATATCATGAATAATAATTAAAATAATCATAATCATAACACTAATCATCATCAAAATAATAATATTCATAATATTCATAATCAACATAAATGATAATAATTATAATCATAATCATGTTCACGTTAATATTAAAGCATAATAATAATAGCAAGATCATAGGCATGATACTAACAAAATTAATAACAAACCCTAGCATGTCACTAAGCAATAAAGATCAAATCTTTAACCCTAACATGATACTAACAATCATAAATATTAGGAAGAATATAGGAAGCATCGTAACAATCATATTTAATATTAAAAATACCCTAGACATGATACTAGGAATATCATAATAACAATATAAACAT